TAGGCCAACCCATCCCAACAGTAGCCTCGCAAAGGGCTGAGCCGAGGCACAACGGTGCCGAGCTGAGGGAACCTCTCAAAGAAACATGAAAGCTATGAGTATATGCATGTGCAAGTTGCCACATCAGCTGGTCCCCTACACCTAGAATCACGGAAGCAGTTAAACCAGAGGAATGTGGTTTGTTATCAGCATGACTACAATGAGTATAAGCACCTCTGGGCAACTACCATATGGTCCCCCACCTAGGGCCATGCTAAAAGGAAGCTTGGCAGCACCAGAGTTCCATGAACCCATCTTGGGAAACAAGCAAGGAACTCTATATATACTACATAAACTTCACATTGAAGGTAACTGATCCAAACTGAACTCCACTTACAACAAACTCAGCTCTCTACACTTCTTCCCCGATCCACTTTCATCTAGTGCAAAATTCGGTACGCACACACCACCAAAAATGTCTTAGCTTTGGAGGGATTTTTATAGCCAAATCAATTTCCACATCTCTTTTGAAGGATGAAACGGAGTAGCAGGTATTTGAGAGAGCATATTACTCACCTCTTCCCTTGCAATTTTATATCCCGACTTCACTGAGTAATCCCCTTTTGGCTCAAAATGCCAAACAAGAGAATCTACTTTTGTTTCTAAAGCGATAGGAATGGAACATATGGCCTAAAGTTCCGCAACAGAAACACAACTCCGTAAAGAGCTAACCTTCCAACTCTACGATAAAAAATAGATAACATCTGATACCTTCTGAATATCATTTCCTTCAAGTTTTGGAGAGGTCACTTTAAACCCCGTAATTGATGGAATCCACTTGTCCTCCCAAAATTGAACATCAGGCCCACTGTTCACTTGCCACCGAATACCCTTGTGTAGAATGCTCCTGCATTGTAGAATACTTGCCTAAGCCCATGATGCCCAACGACCTTTTATAGCTTGCATAAAGTTTGAGTGGGGGAAGTAAATGCCTTTTAAAATACGTGAAACCCAAAATTATGAGCCTTAAGAGATGGTTTGATATGGCCATTAACCTTGATTTGATAAATATTGAAAAGGAAGTAGATGCTAGATTGGTTATGAAACTTTTGAATGACACTAACACAATAATCACAAATTCAATAATTATCACCTCTAACTGCAGGTTCCTCATGAAAAAAATTAAGCCTAGGCAGGATTAAGCATAACTATCGCAAGGAGAATCATGCCATAGACCTGATGACATATTTGGAAAGTTGCATGGCTCTTCCCGTTTGTTTCGGGAGATGGAAGATGGATGGGATTGAGATGAAGATAAAACTTACTAATGTTGTGTTTGTTTTGGAAGATGGAGAGGGGATTGAGATGGGCCTTCGGATTAGGATGGGCCATGGAGAGGGGATTGAGGTGGAGGTAAGAGAGTTGATATTAGAAATTAGTCTTCCGGCTTAGTGTATTTTATTTTATTTTATTTATTTATTTTTTACATGGTTTTTTTTTTTTTTTTTTTTTGAACATTAATGATTAATGTTTTTGTATTTTTTATTAAGTAAAAATTATAATTTTATTTGTTTTAATATTTTATATTTCTTTTATAGGATAATAATTTAACAATTTCCACACTAACAACTATTAGCAAAACAAATACAATTTTACTTTAATCTCCCCATTAACAATTCCCTCAGTATTAATCATCTTACTATCAATTTTCTGTATTCTACCTCTGAAAATAAATGGGACCTAAGATATCACTTTCTTTCTTATCTCCTAATTGTATTCTAAATCAATTGACCCTGGATGACAGATGAAACATTTGTACTAGATTTATTTAATTTCAATAAAATACTCCTTTCACTCCAAAAATAATAATAATAATAAATTACAATCATCCACATTACCGAATTGGGATCCTCCCCTTCATTTCGGTCCTTCATTCCCTCCTTGCAAGGCATTCGGGCCCACTTTGAGGCCCAACTTTGATAATCCGAATCGTTCATATTTTTAGATTTATTTAGTATATCATACCTGTAAAAAATCAACTTGATCGGATATCAGAATGTATGTGTTCAGAAAACTGTTTATTTAAAAATAGTTTGTAGTCCCAATTTTCTGAACGCATATTTTCTGATATCCGATCAACTTGATTTTTTACAGGTATGATATACTGAATAAATCTAAAAATATGAACGGTTCAAATTATCAAAACTGTGCTTCAAAATGGACCCGAAAGCCCCTGCAAGGAGGGAATGAAGGAGGGGCTCAAGGAGGGGATCTGGACTAATTTATATCAGATAACTTTTCTTTTAGGTGTTTGACATTACATTAATCGTACCTGCTGGTGGTGTTGGAATTGTACAAAGATCTTTAAAGAGTCAACAACAGGACTGTGGTGTAATTTGTTAACATTATTTATAGCGTTCTTATTCTGGTAATCTGCGTCTGGTTAATTAGTACAATTTTTGTTTATGATTTATTAAATTTATTAAACAAAAATAGCCTAAATAAGTTTTTTTTTAAAATATGAATAAATTACTAATATACCCCTTGAATTAAAATATGAATCGTCTCCTGTAATTTTGAAAATTACATTGCACTCTTGAAATTTCTAATTTCATAATAAATTATTCCTTTTATTAATAAATTATCAAATCAATTAACAATTTTTAATGATGTTAAAAATATGTTTTAATTAATAATTTAAATAATTTTATTATTGTATAGGAGGAGAGTAATTATATATGTCATTTTTTCAATTATTTTTGTTAAAAAAATTTTTTTGACAAGAGAGTATTTGTAATTTTCTAAATCACAGGGAACAATCTGTACTTTAAGCAAATCTCAGGGGTATATTTATAATTTATCCCAAAAAATTGATTTTTAAAATTTGGGTTGCGATGGCGAATTGGTGATGGTTGAAGAGCCAAGGTTTGGGGGGATCAATGGATTCCACGTCCTTTGTCCTTCCGAATTATTGCTCCGCCTATGGACTTGCTGTTGGATGCACCTGTTTCAATTCTAATTGATAGGGATAGGGGATGCTGGAATGAGGAGATCATCACTTCTATGTTCTCTCCGATTGATGCTCTCACAATTCTTGCCATTCCTCTTTGTCAAAATTGGCCCGAGGATACTCTTGTTTGGCATTACTCGAAGAATGGGATTTTCTCGGTCAAGTCGGCATATCTCTTGGAGTTGGCTACATCTAATATTGACAAGAATGCTAGTTCTTCAGAGGATGGGATGACTTCTGCTGTTTTTTGGAAAATAGTTTGGAAGTTAAAAATTTCACCAAAAATCCGTGTGTTTGCTTGGAAAGCTTGTCTCGATATTCTACCAGTTAAAACAAATCTGATTAAGAAACGTGTCCCTCTTACTGATTGCTATGAGGTTTGTGGTGAGGGGGTGGAAACTATGTGCCATTGTTTGTTTCTATGTGAGTTTGCCGAACGCGTTTGGTTGGCTGCGGGTTTAGATCACTTATGGCAACTGGGGTTGACATGTGATTTCTTTGCTTGGATTTGGCGAATTTCTTCATCCCATGGTTCTGCAGTTTTGGGCCTTGTGTTTTCGATGTGCTGGGGAATTTGGTTACATCGTAATCAAGTGGTTTTTGCAAAAACCAATAGCTGTGCGGAGGAGGTGGCGTTCATCGCCTTTAATAGTTTTTCGACTTTTATTGATGCTCAAGTTAATCTTCCCCAGATGCCCTCTTTGGCATCTTTGGCTGTTTCGTTGCCTCCAGATGTGGGGGTTTTTAAGCTAAATTTTGATGGCGCAATTGGTAAAGAGCAACATGTATCGGGTCTAGGCGTCATTGCTCGTAATAGTTTGGGCCAAGTAATGGCCTCTCTTTCTGAACAGGTGGGGCTAATTTTGGATGTAGATTTCGTGGAAGCGGAGGCCGCATTACAAGTTGTTCGGTTTGCTCGCGATCTTGGTCAAGCAGATGTACACTTGGAGGGGGACTCATTGACTGCGGTTAATGCTCTGATGGCTGCCAATTGTGCTGATTTTGAGCTCGTTGGGTTTGGTCCCCTTAATATGGAACCTCGTCAAGTTTCGTCCTCCTTTCATTACTTCATGGTAAGCCATGTTCGCCGAACAGGCAATGTGGTAGCTCACCGGTTGGCTAGATTGGCTATCTTCTCTCCGGGGTTGCGTGTTTGGATGGAAGAGGTTCCGACTTCGGTTGCTTCGGCTGTTCATCTTGATGTTGCTGGTTCATGATTTCTCTGTTTTTTCTTTTGGTCTTTTCTACTGTAGTCTCTGTTCTTCAAACACTATCTAAAAAAATGATGTGTAACTTTTCTTTGACCAAAATTATTATGTTGATAATGCCACCTAATATTTTATAAAAAAAATTAAAAAATATTCCTAAAACAAGAGTGAATGCAAAATGGAACATATATGCCAGTTTTTTATTAACCTCAAGCTTTTAAGACTCTTTTCATTTTGAGATCCCATGAGAATATTACAACCCCCATTCCATTTAAGGTAAACTACTAATAGGTTCTAATAGTTAAACTTAATTCCCATCAAATCTTATTGAAAATAAATCTTGATATAATTGTCGCTAAATATAATTTTTTTGTGACAATTTTTTATATATGTCGCTAAAAATTGACAATTAGTAATTTTTTTTTGTCGTAATTTTTATAAATTGCCTTTAAAACTTACAATTAGTGACTTTTTTTTTTTTGACAAATTTTTCCTATAGGACCTATTAGACAATAAGTCTACTTATTAGGATTTACAAGTAAATATCCCAATATTTAATACAAGTTTTGCTTACAACTCACGTATTAAAAAAAAATTAACTGATCTCATGTTAAGGAGAGGGTGCATTTAAATTCTATTTATAGATTATCAAACTTTAAATTTAGAATAAATTGCTCCAAACAGACAAAATGATAAGAAAAAAGAAAAAGACAAAAAAGAAAAGAAAAAAAGACAACAATAATATGATTTTGCAGGACAGTGTACTCCAGCAACCCATGCTAAGAAAAAATGTTCAAGCAAGGTTGTCATCAACTTTTTCTTTATTCTATTATATAATGGGAGCAGCCAGAACACAGGTCCTCTATATAACTACTTCAGATTTTGTTCAAATATAAATTTTGATAATTTTTTTTTCCTTTCTTTTTTCCATAACTATTTGATTTTTATAGCATACCAATTGAATGTGTATACACCGTCTACTCAATATAAGCCTGTATATATAAGATCTTCAAGAATACCAAATGAAAGGTCTGCAAGGATCTGAAGGGAACTATATTAGAGGGAAGTACACAAAACTAGTTCCCTCAAACAGTAGATAGAGCCAAGAGCCGCAGATTACACGAATACATTGTGCTTAGGAGAGAAGAATTGGGCCCACATTCAAAAAATTTCACAGTAATCAGAAGTTGCAGTTAGCCAAACCTGTGTCCCGCTACTCCCAAGTAGGAGGCATATCATCCTTGATCCATCGTCGGATCCATTTGACAACAAAGAAGTACTGTAAAAATGGCAACAAGAATTAACAACAAATTAGATAGAAGTTCTATGCCAAGTGATGAGGGAATACACAGCAATCCTGCAAGTTTAGAAACTTACTTGAAATGCCAAAATGAAAGGGATCAATATCTTCCCCCTTTCATTTGGGTCTGGTCCTTTAATCAACTTTAGATCAACATAAATGCCCCTGCCTCCATTTGAAACCACGTCTGCTATTGTTTCGACTAGATTGGGAATCCAAGCAGTCCCATTTGGAAGAATCTGACCCAAAGAACGACCAATCATCTCAATAATCCCAAGTTTAAATAGCAATATAAGAAAACAATTGGATGGTATGAGAAGATTAACCAACCTTTTCATCACAATCATTCTTATTACACCTCCCACTGTTCTCAACCAAACAAACAGGAATAGAAGAACCCTGAGAGCAGAAATAACAACACATAAAATAAGATGGAAAAATAATAATAATAATAAAGAAAGAAAACTCAAGACAATTGTGAAGAACTATCAAGTAATAAAGCCAAAAAAATTAAGGGAAAAAAAAAAACTCAAAAAGAGTAAAAGCCAAAACATAGAAAAGATTATAAAGCAGTCCAACTGAAGGAAATATAGAAAGAACCATGTAACTGCAACACAAGCTCAATTACTTGGAATGCTATGCCACATGTAAGATTGCACTGCAATTACAAATAATTCATATCCTACCATATGGATATCTTTACCATCATACCCTTATCCCATAAACTTGCTGCAATTGCAAATAAGTCATATCCTACCATATGGATATCTTTACCATCGTACCCTTATCCCATAAACTTAGGGGTTGTCTGGGATGACCTAAATAAGTGCACTTTTTATCTTTTTACGAAAAGATGTGCAGAAAAATAGAGAGGTGATGTGATGGAAAAAAAATAAAAAGATGGATTATTTTGCAATTGCCAAACTTGGCCTTACTTCCTACCTATCCTTCAAGAAGCGAAGCTCAAGTAAACTGTACAAGTGTGAGCATATAGGTTTGGCTTCATCCACTCAGCACTCAAATAATTTGTCCTGAATGCAAAACTTGGTTGTGAATTTGGTGATGTGACGCTGTCTCATGTACTTGCATCTCGCAAGTGCTACGTGTATCAAGTGATGTAATAACAACTCCTTTCTTAGAGGCTGTACAAAAAGTTTCTCCAATTATCTTTATATTTTTTAAGCTTCACTGTAAAGTTACTTTGCATTGCATGTTGCTTTCATCAAGGTCCCCCTCTCCAGGCCCATGTGCATTTGCCGTTCAAGTGTCCTTCAATGAAGTGGGGAGCTATGAAGTACGGACACGGGACTCGGAACATGGATACAACGGGGACAAGGCAAATTGTTATTATTGTTTTAATTATATATGTTACATATTTGCTATGTAGATTAATTTTATATTACCAAACAATCAAAATTAATAAAAACTAATATTAATTTAATGTGTATATAAAGACCATTACATTTAAACATTATAAACATATGTTCTATATATTGTAAACATTATATAAAGAAAAAATTAAATTAAAATATACAATATATATATATCTAATCATAAAATAAAGAAGAAAGAACACAAAGAGAAGAGATATAATATATATATAAATATTTGATCAACAGAGAAGAGAGAGAAACGAAATAGAAGAGAGAGAAGACAAAGAGACGAGAGAGAGGCGAGAGGTGAAAAGAGAGAAGAGAGCAGAGAGAGACGAGACAGAGATAGAGAGAGACGAGAGAGATGGAGATCGACTGATAGAGGAGAGATAGACGAGAGATGAGAGAGACAGGGACAGAGACGATCGAAGAAAGAAGACTGAGAGAGAGAGAGAAAGAGAGAGAGAGAGAGAGAGAGAGAGAGAGACTGAGAGCGACAAAGACGAAGACGAAGAAGATGATCGGAGACCAACCACCGAAGACCGACGACTCACCAGTGAAGAGCTTCCAGGTATGCCCAACGAGCCCCTCTCTCTCTCTCTCTCTCTTGTTCTGAGTTCGATTCTTGTTCCGATATGGACATGCGTGTCCCTGCCGTGTCCCCTACAAAAAAATCATTAAGTTAAAGGGACACACAACCTGCCATGTCCGTAAGTGTCCTTGTGTCGCCAGCGTGTCCAAGTGTCGGACATCGCCACGGCACCGATTTTGGAGTGTCCATGCGTCATAGGTGGGGAGACAAGGAGACTCCAATATATTGTGCATTAAAGTTATTCATATAATTTCATTTTTTTGTCCGAAAAAAAATATATATTTAATGTGAATGAAAAGTCAAATTTGGGCTTCTCCATTCAAGCCACAACTAAGGTCATTAACCACTCCTCCGTACATTGTATAGGTGAAGATTCATCACTTAAACAAGGAGGATAAGGTCCGTTAACACAAAACACAAGTGAGAACCAAAAGCCATCAGCATATACAGTCTTCAATATCTTGATAACGGCTCTCCATCTCCTTCAGATGGATCAAAAGGAAATACTCATTTGCAGTTACAACTGGCCAGGAGGGGAGGTTTATATATCTTATTTTCACCATATACTAATGGGAAATTACAAGAACGTGGGAATTGGGAATTTATTTACCAAAAGGTGGGGGCTGCAACTTTCGTTGTGATCTTATTGCACAGAAAAAGTTGCACCCCCATGTCTTTGTAATTATTTTTGGTCTTCTATATGATTTGTAATTTTCCCTATAATAATTGTGGGATCAAACCCTGCCAAGTTGGAAACTCCACTTTTTCAGAAAAAGATGCCAACTAACTTTTCTATTGTTATGCAGGTGATCAACTATGCTGAACACATGGAACACTAGAGACTTTCCAAATGAGGTGTGACAAACTTGAACTACTGTTGCTGTGACCATAAAAATGTCCACCACCACCTATGTTTGGCATGTAGCTACGTGTTACTTTGGGTGATTTTGTCAGGTACTAGCCTTAAACATTGAATCCGTTTTAATTGCAAACCACACTGGATTGGGTCTCTGACCATTTTTGGAAGAAATTTACACAAAATAAATAAAATGAAATTTCTGCAATGAACTAATTCCTTTGGGCTCAAGGAAATGAATTAACAATGACTACTTCTCCTTGAAAAAATTAAATGAGATGAGTAGGAAAATCATCGGGCACATACAGATAAAATCTATTTGATAGACGCTCTTGAATCTGGGTTCTCTTAAGGGCCCCGGAAATGAGCCTCATTTTCTACCATACTTTGGACGTAAGTCCCAGAGCAGTAGTAGTTTGGCCCACAACATTGGTGACCCTTCATGAACGCTGGACTCCAAGATACACATGTAGAACCACTTTTTTCAGCATTACAAGAGAATGCAGCCATCTTCTAAACTTGCTATAAACCGTACACAAACCTTCATGTTCAGGGATATTGATGGACATAGAACACAATTTGAAAGTCTCTTTTCTTCAACATGCAAACAAAAGACCTAGCAAACAATTCTGTTATATATTCTTTGAACTCACCTACAATCTTTGTTGCCTAAGGTTTTCGCTAAAGCACACCCAATTCTGATATATATTTGCATCATGAGCTCCATTTTTGGGGACGACACTCTAGACCATGTTTTATACTCAAATGTAACCTTCTGTACTACTTTTGTTAAAGTTAACCATGCTTCCCCCATCAGACAACTTTCACAAATCAACCACTCTCCAAAAGAATTAAGAGACAAACTTTACCTGCATAACTTGCTTCTTCATCCGAGCTCCCAGACGAACAACTTTTAGAAGAGCCTTTGATCTTTGAGAGGAGAAATCCTCATAATTCAAACCATCAGGAGGTGAGAGCTGAGCATGTGTCAGGACTACCAATCCTCTCTGCCATATTTCTTTACCAAAACTATCAGTTATAGCTCTAACAATCTGCGTATCCAAGTTATCCACTCTATATGCATCTAGGCGGTCCACGTAAAGCAAAATATCTATGGTCTTGTTCAAAAGGAACCTGGTTCAGACAAAACAAAATCGCAGTTTGAAATGTATCAAATGGCATCTCATCATTGAAATATTGTCAACTTAATTTTATATACAGCTTGATACAAACCTTTTGATGATCTCAAGTGCCTGGTCATTGACATATCCACCTTCAACGAGCCCAGGAGTGTCGATTATGTTCAGTGTAAATCCAGCCCATGAGCGTGAAACCATGACAGGTCTAGTTCCTTCTGACTGCAAAATTATACGACATATATATCTTCAATACACAATGACCAACTTAGGAACCTCACGAAGCCGTTGCTCTCAAATACAAAGTTACAAACAGATACCTGCAAAGCATTGACAGCAACTACCCTTTCCCCTATGATGGAGTTTACAGTCGAAGATTTTCCAACACCGCCTTTCCCCATCACAAGAATTGTCAAGGTGCTCACATTCTACATAGTATGAGAAAATGTAAATATTGCATTATGTAATTAAAACACCACCGTCCTTCTGGATGCTGAGAAAAGTACAAATATGGTAAGACTTCAAAATATAAACTCAGACATATATGGGCTCGATTGTTACCATTCTCATTTTTTCTTACAATTTTAAAAATAATGACCAGAAATTTGAAAATTGGGCATGTTTGGTATTGTTTTTGTTTTTTGTTATTGTTTTTGTGTTCTGGAAAACGCAGAAACGTTTTCAAAAACTGTTTTCGGAAAAATTTCTAAAATAAGAAAATTCACTTTAGCGAACATCAAAAAGTTATTTTTTAATTTTCCAAAGCAATATTTGCACAAAAATTATAACTACATGAATAGAATGGGTGCTTTTGAACTTTTCATTGTTTTTGTTTCTGAAAACACAAAAACAAAAAATAATAACGACAATATCAAATAGGCAAATAAATTTTATATCACTTCCATTTTTCTATGAAATTTTAACAAGTCAGAAAAAGGTTCAAAACTTTAACCTCAAAAAGGGCTGCTTTTTACAGTTTTTTTTCTTCTTTCTAAAATTCAGAAAAGGGGATCAGTCTTGAAAACAATACCAAATGGAGCCTCACCACTCCACTAAGCCTCAAAAAACCATTTTAAGTATGTTTATTTTTCTTCTTAACATGCTTGATCATTTTGTCAGCAAGAATAATAGCAGGGTCACATTTAAGGGAGAGAATTGGACCTCCTGCTTGAGTTTTCCAAGAAAATCAAACAATTTGGTCTTGGTGGCAGTAGGGAACTGTTGAATACCAGTCCATTCTCGGATCAAATGAGCCGCCATCGATACCTGCAATTCTCAAAACAACCCAAATTGCAAAAAAACACAGAATCAATACACAGAGACCCATATATATACACACACGCACAGATAATCCCTAAACCCTAATGCTATGTTTGGTTGAGAGAATTGGGGAGTGATTTGAAAAGGGAAAGAAAAAATGTGTTTGATACTTTCACCTAATTTTTCCCTTTCTTTTCAAATCACTCCTCAAAACCGCCGCAACAGAACACAGCGTTAAGCAATGGTCAGTTTGCGGAAAAGAAGAAGAGAGAGTGGAAGAGGTGAGAGCGAAGCGAAAGAAAACAACTTATTATGTTTGGATTGAGTAATTTGGACATAGAAAGAAAAAAAATGGGGTGATGTGTATTTTTTTATTTATTTAGATAATCTAAATAGAGAGAAGTGGAGATAAATTTATTTCCTTTATAAATCTCACTTTTAATCTTTTCAAAAGGGGAGAGATTGAGAGAGAAAAGAAATCACTATTTTTATAATACTAATTTTGTCCCTATAAAAATAAAAGAAATAAAATGATTGAAAATATAAAAAGGTTATTTTGATAATATAACATAAAATAATTTTTTTTTCTCTTAATGAAATTTAACCAAACAAGAGTGAGAGAAATCACAATAATTTTTTTTCTTTTTTTTCTTCTTTATCCAAACAAAAATGAGAGAAATCACAATCATTTCTTTTCTTTTCTTTCCTCTTATTACTTAAGTAATCATTTCTATTCTTTTCTCTCATAAGCTCCAAACATAGTGGAAGAGCTTACCCAACGAACTGTGACGAGCGAGCGAGCGAGCGAGAAAGGCACAATCTAAAGAGAGGGTTTTAGATGCCGTAGGCTAGGCTATGTATGATTTATGAGACGGCCTTTATCGTCTTCGATTCTCTGTACATCTTTCAAATCAAATTCAAACAATAATACTAGACAAAACAATCGCGATTGAGAGCCCGAAACCCCCTCCCCCAAATCCCCCGAATTCAAAAACGACGACGTTTTTGAATTCTTTTTTTTTTCATTTCAGAAGAAAAGAATCAGAAGAGGAGAAAGAGTAGGAAGAAGAAGAAGAAGAAGAAGAAGAGGAGGAGAACTGGAGGGGGAGGGGGGGAGGGGAGGGGGCCAACAAACTAGGGCTGGAGGCGGAGGCAGAGGCGGGGCGGAGGCGAAGGCAGAGGCAGGGGGTGGAGGCGGAGCTGCTGCGAGGGGACGTCAGGCGGAGGCGAGCTGCTGCTGCTGCCATCTCTTCCCCTCTCTTCCTTCTCTTCTCCTCTCTTCTTTCTCCCTCTTTCTCTTCTCCATCTGTTTTTCGGGGCATTCGGGGGCAAAATTTTCGAGGCACAAAACATTTCTACTAAACAAAATTCATTCCAAGTTGGGCTAATAAGGAATAAAAACTAATCATGGTTACCTTTCTTCTTCTTTTTTTTCTTTTTTTTTTTTAATTTTATGTTACACTGACCTCTGATTATTTGAGGTTTGGAGAAACAAAAATGCTTCATTCACATAATTTATAAATTCTTCGAATCACATGGCAAAAATTGACTAGAAAGTTTTGAAAGAAAAGAACTTTGTAGCCTCCAAATGATGTGGCAGTAGCAACAATGCGAATGGATAAAGATGTGGGAAGTGAGAGAGGGAGGGTGTGATGAGAAAGAGTCGTGATCCACTTCTCGAATATTGAGGCGTGAATTTGTCTCGAATTTATTTAATTAGTCGTCTGGTTGGTCATCCAATAAAGAGGCTGACAGCCGCGGTCGATAAGGTGACAACCGTGGTAGACAAGTGCTTCATCCGGTCGTCCGAATGATCAATCGGTGATCAAAAATTCGCATCTAAAACTCTCGAGACCAAAAACATTAACCAATGAGAAATTAGATATCTGGATTTTTTAAGTTTGGCTACTTTTTAATAAACACAAAATTGCAATTAAAAAAAAATGAAAAATGAAAGTGTAAATAGATGTTTTTGTAGTGTAAATAAAATCACCTTTGATGAGTTTGGGAGAAAATAATTTTGGTTATAAGAGGTTATTTGGTGATTTTGGAACAATATTCTATATTTATTGTTTAACATTTGTTTAGTTGTTTTTCAAAAGTTCAACAAAAAGTTACTGAATTTTATTATTTTAACTAATAAATATCAAATTAGCGCACTACATGAATTTACCCTACAATCACCAAAATAATTATCCTTTTTTTATGCATTTTCAAACATGAATAATGTGCCCTTACTACTTTTAATCATTGAAAATATATTTTTTATTCATGCACTTCCAAAATATGTAAACAAAATCAGACTCCATTTGAGAGCAGCAAGGGCTGTAACCAATTGGCCACAATTCTTGTGCACGTGAAAGCTGCTGGAACAAAAAGGCTACCTCCTTAACTAAGAATTAGAATTAAAGTGTAATGTTAAGGATTACGAAGAAAAATATTATGAAGATGATTATAACATATTTTTTATCTTTAGATTTTATATATAATAAAATATCACACTCTAATTAAATGATGAGAAATCTTCCTGATACATTTTATGATTTTTTTTTCTTGATCTCTAATATTATTCAAAGGATTTTTTAGTGTAATTTGTTTGAGTTGTTTATAATTTCTTTTTCTTTTCTTTTTTTTTTTGAAAATTTAAGTGAGATTGTTTGACGTAATTTCTCCTTACAATATATTGTTGAAAAAAAAAAGTTGAAGTACCAATAAATTTTAAAATGTGATCTTGTGAATTATTTAGTCCTTCATTTTTTTTTATAAACCCAAAGGTCCCATTAAAATAGAAATTACACAAAATGATAGTCACTTACATGGGTGTCTCTATTTACACACTACCTTTCATCTCAAGGCACACCATTAATTAATTTATTTTTTATTACAATATTAACATAATGTAAAATGACCACAAAGGATAAAGGGCTATGACACACACCTTACGCAAAATTACCATAAAGGACAATAATGGATACAATACACACCTCTTTTCTGAAACGTTACTTACGTATCTTCTCTCTTAAGAACCTAAAAACCTTGAAACAAAAACTAAAAACCCTTAAAGAAACAATAAAAAGATATATGTATTATTGAAGATTTTGATTGGACTAAATGATGGATGCATCCAACAATATTGGTTTGGAACAATGGAGTATGGAAAAGGTTAGTTTTTCATTTTTTTTTCTTTCGTTTTCGTATACTTGCTGAGTAGTAAATTGTTTGTATTCGTTTGGATACCCAGATTCGAACAATGTACTCATGTTCGACTATCTACAACCGAACAAGTTCTAATTGTTCTATTTTCTAGTGTCGAACATAGTCCACATGTTTGGTTAAAAGTGTTCGACATAAACACTCCGGACAAAAGGTTAACGTTCGAAAAACCAGTGTAGAACGGTTCGCAAAATGAAATTTTCAAATACAATGCTCATGATAATGGAAAAACATACATAAAACCCTAAAATATAAGCCAAATGAGAATTCTCACCTACTGTATCTCCAATGTGGAGTTGTTTCCAACTGTGATGATAACAACGATCACCACCTGCGTATATGATGAAACAGATAACGGAGGGGGTCGTGAACCAGAGTAGAATGGAGTGAAGTCATTTTCAGCACGAATGGAGACGGGTTTAGACTGGTTCCCAAACCTCTGGAATGATAATGAAACAGAGAATAGAGGGGAACGTTGTGCGTGTTTTTGAAGTGAAGGTATAAAATATGGAAGATTGAAGATTGTGAGTGGGGTGTGTTAGTGAATAAGGGTAAAGATGGAAGATTGTGAATGGGGTGTGTGAGTAATGGTAGAGATGGAAGATTGTAATGTGTATCGAGCAAATTTCTTATTTATCAAATTTCTAAAGATGTGCCTTGAGTAGTGGTATGCCTTAAGATGAAAGGTGATGTGTAAATAAAGGCACCCCACTTACATGTTTAGGTTTTATTTTTTAGGAATAAAAATGGGTTTCTCTAAATATAAAATTACATATTTGGGCAATACGCACTATAAAGTTTTTGGATTTTCCCTCTTTTTAGAGTAAATTTCACATCACGAACAAAAATGCAATACACCAATGTAACACTCCAATAACGTAACACTTCAATGTAACACAAACTCTTTGGTGTACATTTCTCAAATGTAATAACGTGACACTCTAAAAAAACTCCTTAGTGTATTTTTCTCAAATAATAACACTCTAATATAACACACTAAAAATTTCTTGATGTAATTTTTCCAAACATAACAACATAACACTCAAAAAAAACTTCTTAGTATACTTTTTCCAAACGTAACACTCCAATGTAACATACAAAAAAATTCATTAGTGTACTTTTCTTAAACGTAATACTCTAATCAATGTAACATACTCCAACTCCAATGTAACACACAAAAACGCTAAAAAATTCCTTAATGTACTTTTTTCAAACGTAACACTCACAGTTTGAAATTATACATTTAAAATTTATTAAGGAATTTTTGTACTCTTTTTAGAATGGTTTGAAGAATCTCACATCCTTTTTTTGGAGTGTAACATTAAAGTATTACATTTGGAAAAAAAATATAGTAAGGATTTTTTTGTATATTACATTAGAGTGTTATACTAAGAAGTTTTTTGGAGTGTTCTATTAGAGTGTTCCGTTTAAGAAAAGTATACTAATGATTTTTTTTAGAGTGTTAAAATTTAAAATTATATATTTACCTAAAACTTACTGGAGTTTTTGTATTCCTTTTGAAAAGTTTGAAGAACTTCACATCATTTTGAAATGTTTGAAGAATTCTATATTTCAAGTCATTTTTGTACTCATTTTAAAATGTTTTGCAAATTAAAAAGATTCCATATAAAAATGCATCCTAAATTTGATTCTCATAGATTGTATGCCTTATATTTCTAGCACAAAAGGGGGGAGGGGGAATAGAAGAAAACATAATAGAAATAAGGGTATAAGCGTAAATTTAATTTTTAAACAGGCTATTTTAATAATTTTTTGACTTTTTGACTAAAATATGAGGTAAAAAAAACTAGTATGTTTGGGTAACTTTTTGACATTTTACGAAAAGATGTACAGAAAGTAGAGAGAAAAGAAAATCTTTCACTTTTTTATATAGGTTAAAGGATTTTTGGATTTTTTAATAACTTTTTGACTTTTTGGCTAAAATGTTAACTTGCCAAACGAGACATAAATTTACTTTTTCAAAATCAATGGGACTAATTAGTCTATAAAAAATCTTTAAGACTAAATGGATCATCATTCTTCAAAATGTGATTTATACATAAATTTTTCAAAAAAAAAAAAAACCTTATTATTTAAAATCTAAGAAAAAAAGTAAATTTGACTTTTACCCTTTTATTAAGAATTTTTAACTTACAATAAACTATATTAAAAAAAAAATGCCTATAGTGAGTTTAACTTTTGGATAATGTACTATTTTCTGCTATACACTCTCTTTCATATAATATGAGAGCATCTCCAACAATACTAAGCAAATTATGTAATTAAAATTTCACTCAAACAATGTTTAATATTTTAGTCATTTTTTAAATATTTATTTAATACTTTTGTGAGTGAGAAAATGAGTGAGAATTGAGTGAGGACCACTATCTAAAATTGCTTTTGGATTTAGGATGACTTTTTCATAAATCTCTTGTCATCTACTTATGTTCTATTTAGTTTATATTCTTTTCTTTATTTTAATAAATCCTATGAGTGGCATAGTTATCAAAATTACCTTAATAATATTCACATTTATAGTGTAAATATTCTGTGATGTGAATGTTCACACCGTCAATATGAATGTTAACATGTCAATATGAACATTCACACGTCAATGTGAATATTCACATTGTAAAATATGAATGTTCACATCACCAAATTGCTAACCGTTCAAAAAATATTTGTAAGGGTATAAATGTCCATAAAATATTTTAAATATGAGAATTAAGATTTGATAGTTCAAATGTTCAAATAATAAGACTTATTATAATACAAGAATATCTTATGCACTAATTGAGATACAAATACTTAAAAAATGATTTTTTTAATAAATCTCCCTTGGATTTATAGATTTAACATTAACAATTCGACACTTATTATTGAGAAAAACAGCTATAGATTTCAATCTTAAATTTGAAAAGTTTACCATGTTGAATTTGAAATAACAATATAAAATAATTAGAATTATTTACACTAAAACCTCTTCAATTATTAGCTAATTTCACTTTATTCCCCTCTTCTATAAATCCATACATTTTGACCTTATTAACTATGAAAATATATGTAGTTAAAAAATAAAACAAAAAAAACTATAAAAACATATCACTTTCACCCCCTACAGACTCCACCAAGACCACCTATAGAAGGAGTGTATTTGTGAGTGTTTGGGAAGTGAATATTCTGAAATGACAAATTTGTCCCTAATCTTACTTTTTCCAAAATTGATCTAAAAGGGCAAAATTGTCTTTTACCAACTACGGGACTAGCTGTCACTACACTGTGCCTACACTGTCAATGTGACAGTGTAGGCTACCCATTGCCCAATTGCTTTTCTTTTCTTTTTTTTAAATATATATAAATCATCAGTTTATGGTACTATTTTGGCCTCAAACTTGGGTTGCCAAACAACGCCTTTGTATGATTTTTACAGTTGAGGGGATCAATATGGTCTATTTTGAGGGGCCCTAAGCCATGGCCTTGTTGGCCAATGCCCAGGGCCGGCACTGAATCTAGTGTTTCTCACATGATTCTGAAACTAAAAAATCACCGCACAAACTTGATCACACGTGCACATGCGACGTGTCCAAGTGCCAAGTGTGCCACTAATAGTGCCACATTGAGCCACATGCGCTGGTGCGTGTGATATATAGGATACTACCCAAGTTTCTCTCATAATTTACTTGGTGGTATTTGTGCCACTTTAAATACAAAAGGAAAGTTTTCCAGGTGTGACAAAGCTTTAATGACACAAACTCGCTTTCCTTTTTAAATGCTTTTATTATTACAATCAATATGTCATATTGATAGGATCCCAGTTCAATGCTCATGGACAGAAATGATATTAGGCATGGAATGAAAATGTACCAGAAAGTAGTTCATTACCAGCTGAATTTTTCTCATAGCCTCCACCTAATGAAGTATTTTGCTGGTCATTGTTCTTCGCCTGAAGAGCAGCCTGCCTCAATAGATTGTCAGCATTTTTCTTACTAAGACCTTTAGATTCCTCAGCATCATCCTCTCCTTCAGAAAAGACTGATGGGCTAGACCAACCTGTTAAATTTGGATCTGCTCTACTCTTTCGGGCAAATTTCAAGAGCCTCTTAAACCCTTTAGGTTCATCTTTTTGATAGATCATTGCAGGTGGATTCTCAGCATTTCCCCACTCAGTAATATCTGTTTCCGCAATCTCTTCCAGCAGCATTTGTGACAAAGAGTGTCGGACACGTGGACTCAACATTGCTGCTGGCCCAACATTGGCCAAAGATGGAACTTGGTATGTGCTCTCATCACATGGAATTGGCGGATCTTGATGTTCTTCTTTTTCTACCCAGGCCATTGGGGAAATGAATAATTCTTCTTCAGTCTCAGTCTTCAATTCAGATTCCATCTCCCTTTCAAAGTTACCATCACCATTGTCAGGAACTTGCTCTGAGCTCGCCGTGTCATCACATTTCTGGCTAGTTAACTGAGTTTCTGATTCTAAATCAGTATGAGTTTCTGGCGCTTCAAGATCACCCTCCTGTTGCTGACTGACAGGCTCAAAAGTGTCTGTAACCACATTTTCCTGAGCTTCAATCAGATTTCTAGAGTTTTTCAAAGTTTCCTCAGGCTGAGGAGAAGAAACTTTTGTCTTGATAACAACAGGACTGACACCAGGGCCAATACCAGAGCCCTTACGGAGGAAAGGCTTTGACTCCAGTGGCACCACACTGCTCTTCTTGGTTACCTTGTTATACAAACTAGGCTTTGCTGCAACCATTGAACAATCCTTTCCAGTAGCTGTCTGACCATTTGCTTTTGCAGTTTTCCCATTTTTTGTTAATGGTTGCTGCTTCTTCTCAGTCACACCTTTCATGGTCTTGCTAGTGTTAATTTGGGTTGCCTTAACATTTTTCGGCCGCTGCTGGGATCGTTCCACCTTTGGGCTTGATTGAGGAACCGATGGTGTTGGCTGGGGTTTCCGGCGATTAGGTATAGTGCCAGTAGATGAAGTTCCACAAGGAGTTTTAGCTGGTGATGTCCCCATAGCTCTTGGTGATGGTGTCGACGGCCATGACTTGCGAACAGCAGGTGATGGTGACGCCTTAGATAAAGGTTTTTTCGCAACAGCAGGTTTTGAGGATTCGTTCTTGGGTTTTGCAGATTGTGTTGAACTCCTATGTGATTTTTGGGGCTTAGCCAGGGAATTTTTTGTGCCAACATCATTTGTATTCACAGAGGCCATTTCAGCTTTTCTTTCATTAAGAATTTGCTGCATAGCTCTAAATTGTGCTTGTTTCTCTGCTCGCTTTCTTGCTGTTTCTCCCCGAAGTTTTTCATCCCTTTTTTCTTTGTAGTGATCATAAAAGCCCCCTCTCTGCTCGTGTGGAACATCTGGGCTTCTGTTATTATCAGGTGTTATATTCCAATGTCTAGCAGGCTCACTTTTCATCATTTTTATCAGCATCTGATTCAACTCTGCTTCCTTCTGCCGGTTCCATTCAGCCATGGCTGTTAATTTTTCAGCATTTTCCTCTCTTTGGGTTACCAGAATATCTGCTCGACTGCCTATGGCATCTACTTGAGCAGTCTCAACAGGATTATGATCTCGAGAAATAAAATCAGACTCTGTTTTGGCTTCTACTGTACTCTTTGGAATTTCTCCACCCTCTACATTATTGGAAGTCATTGGAACAGAACTTGAAGAAACAGTTTCTGGGAGGCGTTGGGTGGAATTTTCCCCTGTACCTGCACTCCATCTTCTCAGCACAGATTTATTCATAGATGCATCGATAGTTGACCTCCTCGTCTGAATATCTGAAGTTTGATCTCTTTGTTTACTTTCAAAAAGACTGATTGCAGCTTGCACACTCATTCTCTGAACATTAGTTTCTGATATTTTGGGGGGTTGCTCAGATCCTTCCTCTTCACTACTGTTTGCAGTTGCATCTATTTGAGTTAATGTTCTATCCCTGGCAGGAAAAAAAGTGAGGCTCTTAATGGTTAGTGCAGTAGCTCTGCGTGACCCAGATCGCCCGATTTGGATCCTCCGCATCGGAGATGCTGACCTTCTAGGTGATGCAGACCTGATAAGAGTCCGGCTTCTTTCCACAGTTGGCCGGTCCTCCTCCTCATCAGAGTAAGAAGATTCTTCACTTTCTGTTGAACTCTGCCGCTCAACCTGCGCAGCTTTTGCCGGGGAGACACCATACTTTACTGGTGTATCTGATTGTGATGATTTTGATACCTGAGAATTTGACTCTGACTCAATCCTATCATTTCTTGAATTAATTTCGGAATGTGACTTTTTATCACTTGGTAGATCAACAGTCTGGCCCATTTGGTTCAGTTCTACAAACTTATGCAAAGTATCCCTAAAATAGACAACAAAAAATGATTAAATTTGCATTATTACTACTCTGTTTAAGATTTCTTATAAGCATTCAAAAACATAGAAGACAAACACCCAAAGTTCTAACTTTTTTTTTACCCAAGTTACCTCAAATCTATGGCTCCAAAATGTTGAGAAAGCTTTACAATATCAGTGATATCCTTTGGAGAACAAGTGGCACCAGTAGCGCGGTTGAAAGCAGCAGCTAATTCCCCTCTTAATGTTGTTAATCTCAAGTCCATTGCTCGCAGTAATTCATTCCTGTCAGTTTGAAGGTGTAATTGGGTACAGACATAGCGCAGGAAAATTTGCTTATTGAAAACAAAACAATCAACACGCGTACTTTGATGCATCTGACGACACAATATCATCTACATCCTGTTACCAAAAACCATATTACTTGCCACATACAAATATGTTCTGATATAGTACTTATATTAAACAATATATGGAAAGGGTGAAGAAAATAGTCATTACTTTTAGCTCTGGTGCCATACCATTCAAGTTGCAGCTGTCTGTTAGAAAAGGGAAATTAATGATGGTTAAATATTTAGCCAAAAAAAAGATCAGAAAATACAATTGAAACAAAGAAGCTTGATAGTAAAGTCAACTAAGCCTTGTTCCAACACAAAGAACCTTGATCATAATGCAAATGAAGGACATTGGACATAAAGGAAGCACAAAAAACTAATGTTGAATCTGCATTTTAGTACTCACAAGTTGGTAAAATGTAAAATCTTTAATAAACTAACCTGTTTCTCCATCTCCAGAATTATGACGATGATCCTGAGAAAGAAATACAATATGAATATGAGCTCAATGAATATTTCAAGGATTAACTTTCAAGAAACATATAGATATTATATTACCTTGATATACAAAGAAAGGTGAAAGTTTCTGGCCTCCTCCAGCTGATTTATCTCATTTTCAATAGCTCTGGCAGTATTTAGTATGTCCGGTGAACCAACAATATGTAGAAATCTGAGAAATAACAAGATTGCAATGAAAGACAAATTAAACATCCAGATTTTGCCCTTTACAAAAAGGAAGCAAAATGACAAAACGAGAAACATTTTAATGATATCAACCTTGTCACTGTCAATTTTGTGAACCAACCATCATGATTTTTAGGTGGTTGAAGTTTGAAGACAGCATTGGATCCTTTTGAGAATAAATCTTTTAGTTCTGGTAAGTGCAGCGCCAGCTGTCCCAAAGGACCAGATGCTATTGTTTCTACTTTGTTGCCACTGCACACACAAGCTTCATACCTACAACTAAGTTTAATGCCCTTTCAAATAGTTTCCAAGTACCCAATCATGATGTCCAGAAATAAAGAGCCTAGCTCAATACCTTAGCTGATTGAAAACCCTTCAAATAAGCATTAGATAATGATATGAATAACAAAAGTAATAATAGCAGTAGCAACAATAAAGATGGCCATCGCCGTCATTTTCATAATTAACAATAATGATAGTTTTCTTGTTGTATTGTTGGTGCTAACAACAATCACATTTATTAAATTTTTAAAAACTCAAGGGAGTTATGTTCAATCCATTAAATGATTATGTGTAAATTTTAAAATTCAAATTTTCTTGCTATGAAAAGTGGCTTGAAAACTTTTGCCACTTCAAAATTCAAAATTATCAGTTTTTATTATGCAATTAATTAGAAGACACCCAAATTGAATATTCCAGAACAATCAATCTGAACTCAGAATAGTTTTTCAAAAAAAAAAAAAAAAAAGATAGGATCAGAACCACTTGATATTTTAAAAAATTTGATTTGGCTACATCCTTAATCACTTTTATATTTAGAAGTACTTGGTTTATATCAAAATTTTCTCATTATCAAAACGAGGGACAAAAACGTACAAAAAACAATTACTCAAAAAAAGTCAAATCAATTAGACATGCGGATAATTATTCCTAATATATTTTTTACGGGCAAATCTTTAACCTGTTTTGGCTTGGAAAAATTTGAAATTCAGCATAATCAAGCAGTGTTTTGGCATCAATTTTGCCCTCCATCTCAACCAGCTTACACTACAAGAAGAACAACAACCTGAAAAGGGGGGCAAAAAAAAAAAGAAAAAAAAAAATTCAAATGGCAATGAATCAGAGAAGTCCTGTTGCAATGCTTTGTAGTTACACAACATAAACTAATCCAAACCTGAAAATAATTGCATTCATAGGAAACCCAGTATGAAATAATTATAACCTTATGCAATTTTAAAATTCTAGTCAGAATTTGGGTCAAAAAGTAAGAAAAAGCAGTTGAAAAACGCTAATCAAACAGTCCTTTTATGCAACTAAAATACATGAGAAAATTAGAAGTAGAAGAATGAAATAGGAAAGCAAGCTCTGATCTGAAGATGAGATTTAGCCCTATGTTTGGAATTACAGAGATAATGTGAAGATTGGGAGAGGAGAGAGAGAAAGTAAGCCACAGGTCGTACTGGTAGTAGGAATGAATGTTGGAAGCCACAGAAAATTAGAATATATGAAGCATTGCGTTTGAAGTAGGATTGTCCAGCTTCAAACTACCAAACAAACATTACCCGAAATAGGAACATGTAAATACTACTGGTGTATACACATGAAAAAGCTAAAATGTAGTAATGTTGTATATTAGACGCGAAAACGAGAGAGAGAGAGAGAGAGAGAGAGAGAGATAGTTGTAGGTAGGTAATACCTCAGCAGAGATCTCAAATGCAAGCTGAAATAGAAGCCTCTCTCTTTTCTTCCTTTTTTGGTCTTTGCTTTATACGGAAGAGAGAGAGAGTGTGTGTGTGTGGAGCTTGGAGAGTGAGAGAGAAGGAAGATACTCAATCGAGTTTGGGGTTGCCATGCGCAGCAATTGTTACACATTTTATTTTATTGGGGCATTTTAGGGTCTAATTGGATAATTTAAATTGTTGATATTTTATAAGGTATTAAATAGAATATATTTGTAACAAATCACATTAATTGAATATCGTTAGTGTTTTTATCAAATCATATTTGTATTTAAAAAAAATAATAAATATAATTTGAAATATAAAATTTAATGCAAATATGATTTGATAAAAGGGTCAACGATATCCGATTGACGTGATTTTTTATAAATATATTATACTCGATACCTTCTAAAATGTGAACGGTTTAAATTATTAAATTAGGCCCTGAAATGGGCCCAATAAAATGCGCAATAGTTGCTACTACGCATGGTCAACAACCCCAAACTCTATTCCATCTTTCCAAAAATAGTTTAGTTTCAATTTTCTAAATTTAGTTTTTTTTTAAATTAAGTTTTTTGTTTTTCTTATTTTTTTATTTTTAATAAATTTTTTAAATTTTAAGTAATTTTTTTTATTTTTTTAGATGCATGTTACTTAGATGTATCTAAATAGTAAAATATTTGTGAAAAATATTTAAAAAATTAATAAATACACAAAAATATGAAAAATGTATTGAATTTTTCTTTTTCTTTTTTTTGTACTTTTTGGTATATAGTATATTTTTTAAAGATTTTTTCACAAATATTATACTTTTTAAGTGTATTTATGTTAGATGTGTCTAAAAATTAAAAAAATTGCTTATAATATTAAAAAAATTCATTGAAAACATTAAAATACGAAAATAAAAAAGTAGAATTTTTTAAAAACTATTTTCTAAAAAAATCAGAACCAATCCCTTGGGAATATAACTTTTTTAGTAGTATAATTATTACACTTTTAAAAAAATTATTTTTTAAAATTACCTTTTGTTAGTACATTTTTTGAGAAATATTAATTGTCATAATTATACTTTTTATGTTATTAATGAATTTAAAAGAAGGATAAAATAAAAAATTCGTATTATTTTTGTCTTTAATTTTTGAAAAGAAACTAATGTTTTAAAATAATGAAAAATAAAATAAGGGGCTAATATTTTGGGACAAAAGAAGTAATAAGGATGATAATTTCCCTAATTCTATCCATTTTATACGTAAAAAAATTTAGGACAAATTATTATTAAGTGGGTAGTGAAATAATTATTTATTAAAGGGTGATACTTTTTTTGAGGGTGCTTGAGGTTTGTTTATTTGGTGGTGTCTTTTTTTTTTGCTAAAATTTTTTGAATTTTTTTTTTAAAATTTAGATTTTTAGATTTAGCTTGATGAGACAAATCAAAAAATTAAAATAAATTCAAAAATTTGACAAAAAAAATAGTGGAGTTTTTTGTTTGGCTTATTTTGACATTTTCAAATTTGTTTTGAAATTTTTTTTTTTTTTTTCCTTTTTTGTTTTTTTACCAAAAAAAAAAAAAAAAAAAAAAAAAAAAAAAACTGTTTTTTCCTTCCAACCCCCGGGTGACACCTCACTGGGTGTCACCCCCAGCTGGGGGTAGGAAGCTTTTTCCTTGGAGAAAAGTTGTTCCATTTAGTCCTGCAAGTTTTTTTTCAAACCAATTAGTCTTTTTTATTTTGAGTATATTGTATTTCCTTGATTTGGGGGTTTGAGAGTTTACTTGTTTGCCTTTGTGTGTGATTTTGTTTAATTTTGTTTCCTAATATTAGGTATGTGTGGGTAAGGTAGGTTTTTATGTTTCCAATTTCTTATGTGGATTTAGTGGAGTGATTTGTGGATGGATGATGTTACCCCATTTATGGTGTTACCCGTGTTCGTTCCTTTTTGTAGTGTTCGTTTTTATTATAACATTAACATTAGTTAACATCTACAGGACCCAAACATTTAACACTACTATATCCCCAACAATCATAACAATATCAAAAAAACAAGGGCCATTTCCCATGTACAAAACACATATTAATACAAACATCATAATGACAAAATGAAGCCAACAAAAACGACATTACACAATACAATCATTGTTTGGCAATACAAAGCTACACCAATTTGCCAAATGACATCTACACATACATAACACACAATAAAACAATGACCACACCACCAAAACCCAAGTGTACTCCAAATCCACATTATCATTCACATACAACAACAACACAATGCGAACCTATAGCATTACTAACCTAACATTACATATAAAAATAGACAACGATGTCGATAACACAATCGGAATATTTATCAAAAAAAGTAAAATAATAATATTGAAACATATACTTGATGCCATTGCCCACTAACTCAATTGCCGCCGACGACGCAATGAGGAGTGTACACATGCCGGTTATACGTCGGTAACATCAACCCAACGACGGAATGATATAGTTCCTGATCCTAATCGCTCTATTGACAGAATTTGAATTTGTATTTCTAGGATTTTGAGGGAACCAAACGTCAAAATTAACAACACAAAAATAGGGTTTAACGTTGCTAAAATCAAATAAACAACAAATAAAGTAATCTACACCCATTAACATTAGAAATCCACGGTGTTTCCATCTTCGTCTCTTCCATTTTGATCGGGATGGATGGAAAACAGAAAAATAATATAATAAGCATTTTGGGCACAAACGTAATTTCCACATTACCTCATCCCTAATTTATCTATAACATTTGGGGCAACAGGCGCTAACACAATGTACAAAAACGTCATTACTACTCAAATGATACTTATCAGTGCATAAAATAAAAGACATGATTAAATGGTTTAAAAGTTTTTGATTTTGGATTTATTGGTGCATTATACCACCAAAAAAAAAAAAAAAAATTGATATTATTTTTAAAAAAATAAATACGAAAAAAATTGAAAAATAAAGTGACTTTTTTAACCAATAAGCAAACTTTCCAAACAGGGTTTGTAATTATTTTTTTTGTCATGTGCACTTATTTTAATTTTATCAAAATTTTATACAAAATAATGTGTTACTTCATTTGGCATAAATTCTATATAGGTAAATCACAAAACTAATAGTAATAAAAAAGAATAAATAAAAAATACACTCTCAGAGATTTGTTTAAAATATAGATTACCTTCTATGGTTTGAAAAGTTCTAAATATTTCTTGTCAAAATATTTTATTCAACAAAATTAACTGAAAATAATAAAATTTTATAATTTTTCTTCTATAAAATAATAAAATTATCTAAATTATAATTAAAATAAATTTATGACATTATTAAAAATTATTAATTGATTTGATAATTTATTAACAAAAGGGGATATTTGTTATAAAATTAAAAATTTCAAGGTGTGGGATGTAATTTTTAAAACTACAGAGACAATTCGTATTTTAAACAAATTTCAGATGGTATATTTATAATTTACTCTAATAAAAAATTACATCTATGATATGGAGACATGCATTTTAATTTTTGTGTTTACAAGTTTTCATTTGAATTAAATTGATCTGGTTAAAAGAATACGGCGTTGAGATATGGTGTTGAGGATTTCTCTAATATTACGAACCGAGATTAGTTATAAACACATGACCATGCAGCGTTTTCGGAAGATAATTTTTGTTATTTTTTTCTGAATCTCAAGAGATATTAATACAATTTACTTTAAAATAATATAAATAAATAGACGCTATTATTATGTTGATAATATAAATGGTAGTTTTAATTTAACTTAAATTTATAATTTTAAATACAAAATAAATGATTTTTCCCCCGAATTTTTCTTTCCCCGAATCCCCCGACTGTCCAAAACGACGTCGTTTTGGGCAATTTTCTTTTCTTTTTTTTTCTTTTTTTTTCTTCCCTCCTGTATGTCTGAAACGCAGATCCAGAAGAGGGAGAGGGAGAGAAAGAGAAGAGAGGGGAAGAGAGAATGGAGAGAAAGAGAGGGTCGAGGCCGTCGCCGATCGAGGGCCGTTGCTGATTGCCGCCGCCGCCACCTCCACCTCCGCCTCCGCCTTCGCCGATCGAGGGTCGAGACTGTCGCAGCCCAGCCCGATTTTGTTTTGTTTTTTTGTTTGTTTCTGGATCTGAAATGAAGGGAAAAAAATAAAAATAAAGATGAATGGTGATGTTGATGTTGATGTTGATGAAGATGGTGATGTTGATGATGAATTTTTTTTTTTTTCTAGATTTGAATTTTTTTTTTCTTTTTTTTTTCTGGATCTGATGATGATGTTGATGATGAAGATGAATCGTTGATGTTGGTCTCGGTCTCTCTCTCTTGTTCTTCTTCTTCTTGGTCTCAGTTAGGAATGGCAACGGGGCGGGGCGGGGCCGGGGATCACCCTCCCCGTCCCCGATCCCTGATGGTGGAAACTCCCCCCGTCCCCGGTCCCAACCCCGACGGGGAGCTCATCACTACCCCCGCCCCCGTCCCTTAACGGGGATCGGGTTTCCCGACCCCGAAAAGTCCCCGACCAAAAGAAAAAAAAAATCAGATTCAACATCCCATTCAAATCAGTTCCAAAAAAAATGTCATAAATAAGATTCAACATCATATTCAATATCAGATTCAACATCATAAATAAATATAAAAAAATCGAAAGAGAAGATCGAATGAGCTCAAATGTCATAAAAAAAAAAAAATCAGATTCAACATCATATTCAATATCAGGGGAGACCGCCTGTCGACCACCCTTAGACCCTCTTCACAAATGGTGGACCAGCAGTCTCCTTAGGTCCAAACTAGCTTCAAAACTTCAAAAACAACCCTCTAGAACCTCAGCTCCAAGAAAATGGTGTAGTAGTCGGTGTTTGTGTGCAATACTAAGGCCTAAAACACACACAAATACACCAAGAAAGAGAGATATAGAGATAGGAT